TAGATGTTAGCCCTCAGGCGAGGGGAACGTGGGAGCTCCGAAGTGAGAGCCGGCATCCTCCCAGCCTAGCTACAGATTCAGTAACCAAGCATAGGATTAATCAATTTTCTTTATGCCTGGACCAAAGGGTAAAGAATAGGTATGCTCCTATTTGGCACAATACAATTTGAACTAATTCACTTTATCCATTCACTTTAATTTCTTGACAATGAGAAAGATGCTTTCTTATATATTGAATTTCACATTAGAAACTTTATTAGTAGAATTAGTTAATTAAGAGTTTGTTAAAATTACATATTTATTTCAATTGCATATTAGTGACAAATAAGCAATTTGAACTGTATTGTTGTGATTAAGTATTGATTTTCTAAATCCTAGTTTGTAGCCTCTAGTATTACTCCCTGTGGAATCGATATCCAGGACTCTATTAGAGCTCTGTATTACTTGAGTGATACGTATACTTGTGTTGATAAGTGTGACTCTGCAATTATTGAATATTTTATACACATTTTTATCAAATCTATAACCATTTTCAAGTTTTTGGCGCCGTTGCTGGGGACTTAAATATTCTAATAACAGTATCAAATTCTTATATTTTAAAGCATATATAAAGTCGCTGTCAATCCTCGTCGTGCTGGCCAAGAAGTATGCTCCAAGCTTTCTGTCGCGACGATTGCAAGTTCAGAGCTTAAATTTAAAGTGTTCATGCAGATAGTTTGGTCGGTGTTCTATCGTTGTGTACCTCCTATTCAACCATACTACTGTTCTCCTATTCTAAGTGGTCTTGTAGGTAATATGTGTATACAAAAGAATAATAAAATTGTAGTATATAAGAGAAGGCAATAAAACATAACATTGCATATCTGGGTCTCTGCTACTACTGTAAAAGGGTAAGTACAATAATATAAGGAAGTGCATGAAATTTAAGCAAACTTATGAAACTTAAATAAATCATGAGAAAATCTAGTAAGAGAAAAAAATATTTATTTAAATCGTGAGAAAAAATTAGAATTGAATAAAGAAAAAACCATTGTCACATTTGGAAAACCGTGGCTAAGTGTAAGACTTTAGTAAAGGTGGGGGCTCAGAGCTGAGTGAGTGCCTTATAATTCTAACTTTGATAGAAGCTGCACTCTCGGTAGCCTAAGGACGGCAATCCTTCACCTCGATCCAATTGATTAACCGGTAGACCTTTTGTAACTTTTTATTCAAATTCTTTAATATGTTCATGCATGTAAAATTTACTGTAGCAAGCAAAAGCATGATGTTGTAAAAGATATTTTGGTTTCTTAAATATTTTTGTAAAGTAGTATAGTACACAGGGTAATTACTCTAATCAGGCTAAGGCTACCGACAACCTAAGAGTATCGGAGGCAACTCTTACCAATAGCTGGTAAATAATATCATCGTTCATGTCCTCTCTCCTTATTGAGGATCCTTAAGATAGGAGATACTATTCTAAATCCAACTTTGTATCCCTCGTTTAACATACATAAGTAATGTCTTCATTGCCCTTGCCACCTAGACCTCTGACTTATGCTAGCCCGATGATCTATGTGTTGCAAAAATCTTCCCAGTTGCTCATAAGGATTTAAATACCTTATCCAAGATTCAAATCCTTGAGCATTAAGTTTTAGATGTAGGATAAGTAGTGTAGGGTATTTTATTGGAAGTATGAATTAACGAGTCTCATGTCATATCTTAGTGAATCCCTAAAGTTTTAAAGATAATCCTCTTCAACAAATAATAATAGGTTTGAAAGTCCTTTAAAATGTTTAAAATATTGTAAAAGTGTTCAGGGTATGATCTTGAACATCTTTTAGAATCCTCTTAAGTCACTTCGAGTTCATTTAGACTTATTATCTTGTTGAATTGATCATTTCTAATTAATTTAGTTGTAATGTTTTAACTTAATCTCAGTGAACTTTTAATGCTTTAATTAATTCATGAGCAGGGTGACTAAACATTCATTTGATGTTTCACATAGAAATTATGTGAGTGGACACCCTTAAGGGGAAGTTAAGTTGTTTAGGAATCTGCAACCCTTTAGTTAGAATTGGGCTTGTAGTGTTTGGGAAATTTTATAATTGATTTTATTATCTTTTCTAAACCTCTCATTAAGTGATGTTGGATCAAGTGATGTTGGATCAAGTTTAGTTCACTATCAAGCTCTTAAGCCTTCATGGGTAGATTTTCAGTTTTGGAAAAGGCTGAAAGAGATGAACTTAATTCTTCTCAAAAGATTGTATTATCATTTAACCATTTGTATAGGGCTTCAATTGGTGAGTCGTTATCTTCCTAACACAAGCCCTTCACATTAGGATCATCTACTAGGATCATCCAATTTAATTAGCTTCCAAAGCACAATAATTTAGAAATTTACACTTTTACCCTTTTATAGAAAACAGAATGGATTTGTTTCTACCCCTTAACCCTTTATGTGTCAATCATTTCAAGATGCTAACCATGATCAATATTACCCACTGACCCAACTTGCACTTACTCGTATTTTTAATCTTCTTAATTACGTCAGAAAATATATCTCAATTTATACCTAACAGCTAGTGTGAGCACTTGCAATGATTTATAAATTATATAATAGATTTTTACACTATGGGTACTACGCAAGTATACGTACCGTTTTAAGTAATAAAGGATTTTCTTTAAAAACCTCAGTATCGATCCCACGAGGAATGCGGTAACTCTTAAAATCAACTTACAATAATATTATTTAAACTGAAATCTAAAACAATTGAAAATGATAAGCTTACTAAAAATTACTACTAAAAGAGCTTAAAAAAAAGTAACAACTAAATGTAAAAGCTTAGCAAAATATAACAAGTTTGGATATTATGGGAAAAATTTTCCACTTGCAAAGAGATTTAATCTATGTAGGATTCAAATGATTTAAAATAAAATTGGAGGATTGTGATAAATAGAAGCATACCTTACTCTTTACCCTCTCTCGATGCTTACAAAGAACATTAGATAACTTAAGATTGATTCTTTAACATCTCGACTTCACATCAATGTTATCTAGCCTCTCACCTCTAGATGCCCCCATCGTAATAACTGAATCCCAGCGTCAGGGTACTAAACCATAATCCAAACCAATACGAATCTAGTATGTCACTCTAGATCTAACTAATTCTACATCCATCAAAACTTATCTCCCTATTTATTTGCACTCCCTCTTAGGTGATCACTATGGCGCTGCCTAGGATGAAATGTGGTATCCACTAGTTTGGTGAAATCATAGCCCTCTCAGGTCTTATAAGTTTACTCTAAACATTAGCCGATTGCAAAACAACCTCCAGGTGCGTCATGTGTTAGCTCAACCAATTAGGGTCAGCTACCGTCTTAATCATTTTTGCGGGCAAATATAACAGTAATTAATATAATCTTGTTGCACAATACGCGACTATTTTTTCTGGATACACATAACAAGAATATTCGAACTGAACCCTGCTTCTTTTTAAAACAAACTAAAAGTACTATGGTGAAACTTTAAGATTTCATCTTGGGCTAACTAATATTATGAAAATGGAATAACCCGCACTGTTGGTCTAATTTGAGCTGTTCTCTTGTTACTTTACTTTTTCAAACCAACACATATTCATTTAGCTACGACATTTTTTCTGTTTTATAGATATGATGACACCGAAATCACCCACTCCTTAGGTCTAATTTGAGCTGCTTTCTTATTATTTTACTTTTCAAATCACATCTCCATTTAGCTAATACTTTACTGGAATGTTATCGAAATTCTCCTGTTAGAAAATGACTTTCACTATCAAATATGCTAAAGTGGGATATTAATAAAAAAAACATTTATTTATTTATTTATTATTTCCACAACAAATTTCTATTAACTCTACATGTAATAGTTTGCAGCCACTTCCACACCCCAAATAAAAATAAAAAAAAAATAAAAATAAAAAGGCGAACAGACCAAGTAAATGAAAGCACCACTGGCAAAAACCACTTGTTTCCCATATATGAATGACTACCCATACAAAATAAAGACCACAATCAGAAACCATTTCTCGGATTAAACGGACAGGCACTGGGCTTAATTTCACAAATTCCATATCAATCTTCTACACGCGTGTAATCTATGGGCCATGTTTGCATAAAACAGAATAAAGCTCCATTTAAGCATCTCGTTTACAGAAATTTGAACCACCAAGTTCAAAGAACCAAAGTAGACGTAAATAAAAGCACATGATTGTTCGATAGCCAGATTAGGCACCGAGCCGCAGAGGAACAGAGATTCATATTTTTCCCCTCAGTCGGCTCTAGACTGACCTGCACGAGATGAAAGGATGATGCCCACAATGAGGCCGTACAGGGCCAAGGCTTCAGCAAAAATGAGAATGAGAATCATTCCCACGAATAGTTTTGGCTGCTGTGCATTTGCTCTGTAAAAACAATAATGGCGAAGTTATTCACTGCTGCAAATGAAGTATATGGAAATGCATAACAAAATTTAAGGTTTCAGAGGGAAGAGGGCTTTTTGTTAACATCATTATAATAAGTCTATTATCCTAATCAAAGTTTTGTAGTTTACAAACCCAAGCCGCACAAAAAGTACAGCTTGAAAAACCGACTAATGAGAAGGGCAACTTTTAAGTGGCTGGTTGTTAAAGCCTTTTAATATGATTTATTTACGCTGAATTTATGGGTTTAGTATAAATCCAGCCAAATAGTTAAATCCAAATTTCTTGTTGTTTCGCCCATAAAATCATATTTTACTAAATCAAATAGTTCAACAAATTTGATAAATCTAAATTTACAGGATTTATTAAATGCTATTGAAGTTAAATCCTGCGAGCAGGCAAACAGCCCATAAAAGCCGAGAGTAGCAAACAAAGAATTTGAGTCTTAAGAGCTAATTTGGCGAAAAATGCAGAGGAAGATGAATAAGGATTTACAGGTGGTTTTAAGGGATTTTAATAGAAGAAGAAATAGTAACGGCAAGATTCTAAACAAAGATGTCAATATATGGTTAGGGTAAAATGCATCTTCTAACAGGACTGCCATTCTTTTCAGCCGGGTAGTACATTGAAAATTGGCATCCCAGAATCCAGATATCAAAAAATTACTGTTTCCAACCAACCAATTCAACAATTGGTTTTTGAATCAAACGGGGAATATTCTTCAAATGTAAGGCATTTTTTGCTCCATGGTTCACTTGTTACACCTGAATGGCTCAATTTGAAATAAGTTTGAGGGTGGTTGATATCTGATTGTAACAATTGAATTAAGAGTCTAGACCTTGTCATCAAAAAACCGTCATTTATGGGTGTTACATATCATTTTTCATTTATTAAAGTTCAGTAGTGGGAAGCTTTTCCAATCTTCATCTATCTTACAAGGCTGCATTTCTGCCAACCGTATTTTTATTAGGATATGTTTAGTCTAGGAACAGAAAGAGAGGAAATGAAAGAGAAATGGTAAATGAATTGAAATGCAAATATTTTTCACCCAAAAGTCTGGTTCAAGTAAAATAAAATGAAAAATATTTATCCTAAATGAATTGATGAGAAATAGAATTTTTGATCTAATGAGCAGAATACATCCAAGTAAAAGGAATGGCAACATAAAATTTTACATTAATTTTTTCACTCAGGATGGGTAGATGATTGCGAATGAAAAAATGCATTGATGATATTTCTTACGAAAATTTATTTAACAATTAATTCCAGTTAAATCAGACACCCATTATATGAAATAGAATGTATTTGCCATCCCTCCAACTTTCTTCAAACCAAACACAGCTTAAATACCTACAAACACCCTAAGGGCACATCATTTAGCCAACCCCTTTGTCTACATTCATCTAACCATATTTTAGAAGAAAGAATTGGAAGCCAATAGCTTTTTGTTATATAAAACTAGAAATTTTGAAATTCCTCCATCTTTCATTTCAACTTTACTCGCTGTAGCTAAGAAAGATAAAAACAAATTTCTAATAAAATAGTTAAAAACTAATGCAAAGAAACTCATGTTTATCCTTATTACCAGATCAATGTAAACATTAGAAGGTTCAATAAAGAACTTGAACCACGTAGATACGATGAGCTAAAATAGAATGAATCCACCGATAGAGTATTCTTATCTTAAAATTTCAAAAAAAATTCCTCACTATATTTATAACTCCCTATCAAATCATGCATCAAATTTCTATCTAAATCCTTTTATACGCTTCATCTAAATGGACAAAATATACAATAACTTGATACCTACAACATAATAGTTTCCAGAAGAAGTTTGAAATGGCCAAATCATCTTATCAGAATCGTTTAAAATGAATCATATCCCTTATGAGCCTAATCTGAATTATTCGTTTTCTAGCTCTTGTTAATGCTATTGTGGAATTATGTGTTTTCTATTTTAGTGTTTTTTTTTTTTCTAGTCATATTTTTTTCCATCTTGAGTTAGTTTATTCTTAATAAGTTGTAATAATTGTAATTAAGTTTGTTCTAATTGTTCCTTATTATATAAAGAGAAGAGTTATAATTTGATTATCGAGAAATAAAATATTACAATTTTTTCCATCTTTCTTCATGGTATCAGAACTAGGGAACAAACCCTAGATCCAGCTTTAAAAGCCAAAATTCTCCCTGCATGCCCCTTGGTTCGGGCTTCTGCTCCTATGAATCATAAGCATTTAATATGAATCATATCCCCTATGAGCCTAACCTGAATTCTCGATCTCCTAGCTCTTTTTAATGCGTATTGTGGAATTCTGATTTCACTAATTTAGTGTTATTCTCTATGTTATGTCTACTTCTTTCCGTCTCGAGTTAGTTCATCTTTTGGTAAGTTGTGATGATTATAATTAAGTTTTTCGTAGTCATTCCTTATTATATAGAGAGACAATTTGTAATTTGATTATCGAGAAATAAGAGAATACAATTTTTAAACCTTTCGTCGTGGTATCAGAGTCAAAAGAAAAAACCTAGATCTCGCTTCAGAAGTCGGAATCCTCCCTGCAAAACACCCGACTCGAGCTTGGCCTCCTACACGCTTCTGTTGTCTTCCACGTCAGCGGGGACAGGGGGGTCGTTCACTCAGATGCAAATAGCAGTGGGAACTCTTCCGCATTGGGAGGCTTTGTTCACTTAGCTGCAAATATCGTTGGGAACTCTAGCATTATCTCTAGTGGAAATCCAAGATCAAGCAACCATCAGTTGGACTTTCTCTCTAAAGTGGAAATCCAAAGGGAGTTAGACTTTCTCTCTAGTGGAAATCCCAAACCTGCAGGGAAAATTTCAACAGACGTGGGAACCCATTCCACTCGTTGAAACTTGCAGCCAAATAGCCGACAGAATTCCTTCAGCTGCGACTGCTGGAAGATAGGTTTGGCGACAAGGTCAACAACGAAGGCCTTGAATAGAGAATCTGATGGAGAAGAGCCTGTAGCAGTGTAGATCTGACGACAAAGATGTTACTAGGGAAGGCTTGAATGAAGAATCTTGTGAAGGGAGCTGCAGCAGATTCCTCTCCTGTAACAGCGACTTCCCGGATCTCTAAGCATCCGCAACAGCAGTTGACTCCTCTCTTGTAACAGCCACTCGCCAGACCTTTTTTCCTACAACAACTCGACCAACTTCCTCGCTATAAAAAGTTGCAACCCTACAAACACACAAGGTTTATGATCAAGTATTGTATAAAGATGTCCAATGCCACTCTGGAGGTCAATCGTCTCTTGTGTGAACATTGCAATAAATTTGGTCACACATAGGACACTGGAAACTACATAAAAAAAACCTGCAGAATAAAAACCTGAGCAAGGGAGGAAAGATCAATACATCAAGGCCAATGATCCTGTCTCGTCTGAAGGGTTGGCCAACCCTAGCCCTTTCACTAAGAAATAGCTAGAGTTATTAAACAAACTTCTTTCAAGCACAACTGAGTGGCCTACCAACTTGATGATACGCCAAGATATCATATCCTCTTCTCTCGCTGACAATGAAAGATTCTAACATTGGATAATACATTCAGATGCTTTTAATCGCATGAGTGGAGATATTCATGCTCTCGCCAACTCCAAGAATTCACCAACTCCAAATTTGTCAAACTTGTTGATAAATCTCACTCCAGGATTTAGATTGCATCTCAATAAGTTTTCTCATCTCCTCCAAGTGCTTGAATCGGCCCTTAAATCATTTTTCCATGATAGAAAACTTATCGTCTATAGAGAAAAACCTTCTATGGTGGAGAACCTTTCATCCATCTCATATCTAATTTGACTCATCTCTTCCCTCAATTTCTTCTCCAAATCCCCAAATTTTTTTTTTTTTTTTTTTTTTTGTCGCCGTTATTTTCTGTCAAATTTCAAGCCTATATGTCACGATCTCGTAGTTGATTTGAACCGGGACTACTTTTCTTGGTTTGATAGCAGTAAATTGGCTTGAACCACAATGTTTCTATGAGTAGGGCAAGTCGTAATCTTCCCAATCAGCTCATGGAAAAATTGGCTCAGGTAAGTAGCCTCCCTCCACTGAAACTATGTTAGGGATTTCCCCTCTAAACATGAACTTGTCGCCATGAACTTCTCCTTCCTATTTAGCCTATTCACCACGAAATATCAATCCACCTCACCTGGTACACGCACCCATGTGCATCTTCCCTCTCGAAGATATCGATCTTCAACTTCCTAACCCTAGCATCTCGACATCAACTTCCTCTTCCTCTGTTGTTACCCCCAATGTGTTGAGGGTAAGACTTCCTCTTTTGACCATAGCCATATCAAATTCTTGCTTCTGTCCTTTTTTCTTCACGCTCATCCATACCTTTGTCATAACCACTTCTCCAAGTTTCAACCCAATCGTCTCTATCTGAAATCTTTAATCCACCCCCAACGGAGCCCTGAGAGGGGGTTCTCAGCGTCAGATGCTTTCCTCCTCATGTTCCTCTTGCTCAATCTCTTTCCCCTTTGATTTAG